AGTTTCATTCTTAATTATAGGTTTCTTATGGTAGAGTATTATTGATTCGATTAAATTTTATATATTTATATAACATATATATTTATATAACATATGATTTTTTAATTGTTGACTCTTTTCGATATTTTCTTTTACATGTAGATGTTAGGAAAAATTTAAATATTGAAAAAAAAAATTTGGAATGAGAAATTTTAAACGTTTTCCAGTTGATTTTAATTACATTATAAAAATTAAGTAAACTAATTAAAAGCTGAAGGTTGTTAATTAAATATTAAGTTGATAATGGGTTAACTCTAATTAATTAATGGCATTTAATTAAAAGGGAACAATTGTATTTTTAATATCAGATTTTTCAGATGATACTATGACATTTATAAAAATTTTATTCGATAACGTCATATTTATGTAATTAATCGAGCTATTATGAAATTAATTGGCATATGGATTTTGTAAAACTTGTAAAATTAATTGATATGTGGCTTTTTTAAAATTTATCATATAGGAATATGATCCTTTGTAATCAGACACATGTTATTAATAATTTTCCATAAAATTATAAATTTAATATGAAATATGACAAATTTTTATATTCTGAGATATTTTCAATTAAATAAGGATTCAATTTATTATTTAATTCACTCATATGTATTATTTATTTCATATGATATATGAAATAAATTTTACATACATAAATTCATTATTTTAATGTTACAATTATTCACAGACAATAAAAGATTTTTTTTTCCTATATGAAATATAAAATTACACGAAATATATTATCGTGCAAGATATCGGTAAATCCATAATGATGATGTAATTATTGAAATTTTTAAAATAATATTTGGAATATTTAATGAAAGAGGAGAACCTATGAGAAATTTATGATAGGTTTCATAACATTATGAGTTTCGTTAGTTTTAGATTAATAGTTTATTAATTTTTCCCTATTATGGAAAATATTATAATAATCTATCGATTTAATAAAAATATATCGACCATGTTTTTTTTTTTTTTATAAAAAGAAATTCGTGAAAAAGTAACTTGTGAATTTTCCTCTCTCGGTCCATTTGTTTGTCAATTAAATAAAATGGAAGATTTAAAAAAAGCATTCGTTCGGTATCAAATGGCCGCGTTTATACAATGTTCAACGAATGGACGAAGCATCATCGTGAAAATTAATGTCACGCCGCGAAACATCGAATATATTCCATCTGTGACACGTGGATGTTTCACCGGCAGTTAATGCAAACCGCAATACGATGTCATATCATGGATGCATTATTGCAATTTGTATTGCGTACAAACTGTTTACAGATTCTGTCGATGTAAAATGATTAAAATGAAATTTTTAGGATGAAGATTCCTAAAAACTTAACGGTTTTTTCGATAAATTATTTTTCGTATATTTAAGAAAAAAAAAAGAATATGATTTTTTGAAAATGAAATTTTTCTTCCTTTTTAAATTTATCGTAAAATTTCATTATTATTTTAGAGTTTGGAATAAAATTGATCTCGAATACGTTTAAAGGAAGATGAAATTTCTATCGAATCTCTTTTTTCCTTTTTATAATTTTAAAAATTATACGGAATCAAATTACCTGAAAATATTTATCGAATGGTTATTAAAATTCAAACATACACGTTTCAAAATTATTCAAATTACAAGTAAATTAAATCGAAGGGAAAAAAGACATTTTGTCCAATACTTTATCTATTTTAATAAATATTCTTTGTAATATTCCTTCATTTTAAAAGATCATATAAATATTCGTTTCATTGATTAAACATGATTGGGATATAAAAAATAGGAAACGAATAAAGATATCAATTGTTTGAAAATTTGAGATTTCTTTCGAACGAATCATGTTTAATCGCGTTAATCGCGTGTTCAGAGAAATCAACACTTGGAATATGAAATCATGAATGTTGGTGAAAGGAGTCTCAACGTGGAATTTCTCCTGAGGGAGAATCGCGAGTAGAGCAATTTTAAATCAATTCGTATGCAAATTTAATCGATCATCAATAGAGGGAGGAAACGGAATTGTGGAGGTGGATTAAAGCGGTTACTGGAGGGGTGATTCGATAATTGATCGTGAGAAATCGAGATAAATTTCTTGATGAGAAAGTCGAACGTGTCTTCAAATGTTTCGAGAATTTTCAATATTCATGGAGGAATATTAGAGCCATTAAAATACATTGATCAATATGTATAATAATAGTGTTAAAAATATTGATAACAATATTTTTATATTATTTTCAAGAAGATTATTTTTCGAATAATTTTTAAAATAATTTGTAATTTTTTAATTAATTAATTATATTATATTTACAATGATTTTTGCTAGGAATTTTTATATTACAATTTCCTTAATTTTATTTCAAATTATTTGAATTTATATGTAAAAAAAAAAAGAAATATTGTTTCATATATTATATTTTTATATATCTTCTTCCTCGTATATCTTTTATAAGTCTTGAAACCTCTTTTGCTGCGAAGAAAACACCATTTTTTGTCTTTGTCTCGAGAACTATTTTTAACCTTAGAAGTTCGAGAAATGGTGATTTATTGCCATGATGGTAGGATGCATCTTGTCTGGAAGTTATTTTATCTTTCTGTCTTTCTGCCTTCGAACCTCTTCCGGCTCAACATCCTTTGAAGGATCCTTGAAACATTTTACATGCTCAAATGAATAAATCATTTTTCTCGATTTTTGAAAATAGCATTTAGAATCGAAATAGATAGAAATTACGAAGAATGGATTACGATTTCAAAATCGTTTTATTATCGATTATCGTGCGTATCGTGGAATTTATTTTGATCATGTAAACAGCTGGTCACAACATGGTCTAATTACGATAATTAAATTTATCTTGTTAAAAGCACGTACTAAGGATTAATGTCAACACTTGTACTAATATATATAATACAGAATGTTAATGTTACATTTCTTTCACTAAAATTTACGTATATATTTTTAATCTAAATTTTTATGCAATTATAATAATGTTTTTATAAAAAAATATCAGGACGAAATATAATGTTTCGAATTAAAATAAGGAAATCCAATATGATTCTCGAATGAGATGATCCTCTATGATTTATATTACGTGTTTAAATATTCTGCTTCTTATATCTGATGATGGATATCCCAATTTATTTGTACCATTATTTGTTTTTATTTTACACGAGAAAAAGAATATTATTATTAAATATTAAATATTTCCAATATTAAAACAAAAAGTTTGAAAATTCATGAATCTTTTATGAAATATATTACTCGGCTTTCCACGGTTGAAGGCATTAATATGGAAAACAGTGGTTGGTTAAGAACTGGGGAAAGGGATTCGAGGAAGGATAAAACTGTAAGAAGAAGGAAACTTCTCTTTTCACGGTTAGAAAATTCACGCGTACGCTATGTTTTCATAAATCTGGAAAAGTTTTTCGGCTTACAGACGAAAAGAAAGCACAAAACCACATCGCACGACGTAAGAATAGAAATATTCGTTTCGAAATTCAGACGACCTTGTGGGAGTTCGTCGAGGAATCCCCGAGGTTACATAAATCGCTCTTCCTCCACGCAATATTATGCGATTCTCCTGTGTCACCGTACGCTGAATTATTAACGTGTCCAATAAATTATAAATGCAAGGATTAATAATGGAGGATTTCGGGTAAGGAGATTTACACCGGTTGATGATTATGGATCATTCATTTTTGACATCATGATTGCCATTGGTACATAAATATTTCATCATTAGTTTTGAATTATTTATTCTTGGGATTTTATTTAAAAATTTACTTTTGATAAAATTAATCTCTTTTATATTGAAAATAAAAAAATAATTTAGTTTGTCTCGGTTTAATCATTCTTAAAGAGATTAATTAAAAATCTAATTATATTTGGTTTAAAAGTCTTTCTTAAGCTTCTTTTAAAAATTTAGAATCTTAAAATATATAAAAATATCATATTAATATTAATAGTAAATTAAATAATATAAAAATTTTGAAACATGGAAAAAAGAATCAAAGTATTGTATGAGATATTTTCAACATTTGATATTTCTAAAATAATTGCTGTAGATTGTTTTAGAAAGATTTTTGGATGTGATAGTAGACTGATATGCGTAAATATGATCAAGTATACACTCTGCAGAGAGTTCATCAAATATTACTTAATCAGGTAATTATTGTGTGAACAAAGTATTATTTAATGTCGAATGGCAGAAAACCAACAGAGAAGAAACGATAGAATTATAAAAAATAAAAACGTTTGATAATTTTGTCTGATATTTGTAACATGTAATCGATTCTTAAATTATGATTAATTCAAAATGTTATACGAAACTTCAGAATTCATACAAATGATAATTATATTCTACGTAATTAAAACTTTATTGGATAACTTTGTTATTGAATAATTTAGTTGCAAGAAATTGTGTGAAAATTTTAATACCCATCATTTATCTATATAAAATTTAAAATTAGATAATCATAATAGATTAGTTTACGTTTGGATCAAATTTGGGTTAAATTTGGATTATATTATAAGCGTAGATTATATTTGAGTTGTGACATAACAAGTTTACCTTAGATTTCTATTATGACATAGAGTCCATTAGTTCCCATTTAATCACCAAAATTAAGCTATGTCAATCACACTTAGTACATGGATGAATGTTTAGGAACACCATGTATTGTTGATGATGATCCACTTTAAAGTGGAGGTTCTCAACGTCATCCGATATACAAATCATACTTATATACGAATCTTCATTTAAATATAAGAATCATAGAAATAATCTATTCCTAAATGATTGTAAAAAACAGGCTTCGAAATGAATGAATAGGTTTTAATTGTCTATTATTCTATCACTTCGGGATACGACGTCGTCGTGGGGAGTCATTACATCTGTTTGTCAACCACTTCTATTGTAGATCTTCTGGAGAAGACAGGAAGGAAAAAAAAAAAAACATTTTTGTGTGTGTGTATCTTTTGCAGGTCGGCCAGAGCCTTGCCATGCGATGTCGTTGCAGAACCCCAGACTTCGACATTACAGGTCGAATCGTCAGACCAGATACACTCTGATGACAGTTTTGTTCTCGTTTTTGAAACTCGTTTTTTCACAGTTTTATTATACATATATATAGTATATATATACGCTGATCGATACGAGGGCAGACACGGCTATATTTTTTATCTCTCTTTATTATCTTTCTCTTTCGCTCTTTCTCTCTTTCTCTCTCTCTTTCTTTTCCTTTCTTCTCTCAAGTTTTTTTTTATAATCATGCACAGGATGTGGCGCAGAGTTATTTCTTTGGGGTGAAATCGAGAATGAAATTATTCGTATTAATATTCGATATACCGTAATAATATTCGATATGAATTATTTACTTTTATAAAATATATTTTATAAAAGGATATTATGAATTATTTTTATCATATGAAAATATGAATCGTTTTTTTCTTTTTTACGATATAAATTTATAAAGAATTTTTTTGCAATCAACTGAGTCTCATTTTGTTTGATGCAACTTAATAAATAAGAACAGACATTTTTATGTATTAATTTTTGGATTTGTGTTTGGCTTTTAGATTTAGTGTATTTATAAACTGCAATGAATAATTCATATCTTCATAAGTTTCGTTTAAATGATCTTTCAATACAAAATAATAAATTCAAATATAGCATAGCATCTGAATATTAATTTGAATATCTGTGCATAAAGATCAGTTTTCGAGAAAAGATAGTGTCGAAAATTTCACGCATTTCGTTTCAATATGATTCAATTTGCTGCCGATATATCGTTTTTATAAAAAGAAAGTTTAAAAACAAAAAAAATAAAATATTTAATATCAAAAATTTAATTAAAAATTTCATTTCTCCGATATTTTACTGGAAAATGTATACGTAAAATTTTTTAAAAACAATCAAACGTTTATAAATTTATAGATATTGCGACATCATTTCAATATGAAAGATAAAAAAAATCTTTTTCATTTTCTTTATCTGAAGAAAATAACAAATTCTAGGATGGAACTTTTGTGGAAACTTTGCAAAGTACTCACGAGAATATCCAGTTTGCAAGAAGTTCGTATAATATTTTTTATAAATACATATATCGAGCTTATAAAGCCGGAATTAGGAAAAGATTGGTTAAAATAGGACTACAGTCGTATGCTCGAGTCGTAGAATGGAAAAATTTGTCGTACAAGTGAACTGAACGTGAAAGGATTCCTTTCTAAAGATCCTTTCAATTTCAAAAGAAGAATCAAATTTTTCTTATACAAATAATTTTATATTCATTCAAGCATAATGCAAGAACATTGCAACTTGGCTTGGACATACGTATATAAATATATAATATACGTATATAAATATATAAATATATTTGAAATAAAGATTTTGAAAATGTAGAAAGAATTCGAGATACTGAATTATTTTTATTTTAAAAATAACTTGATTTTGTATCGAGATAAAATAAATTAATAATTTTTGAAATAGTTTATATAAATTGAAGAGAATCTTGTTTTCTTTAATTCTTTTATTTCATTTGAATAATTATTCGTTCCATTATTTATTCTTTTTTTTTTTCTATATTCGATTACACATAATTTATATTTCTAATAAAAAATAATTATGTTCACATCAAAACAATTGTTTTTATGCAATTGTTAATATATAAATTATTTCAACATTCATTTAAATAAAATTAAATAAAATCACTATATACACATAATATATATAATTATTATACAATTATCTAGTTTAATTAATGTTCAAACTCGTTGCAAATATCGTAGCACACGATACGTAAAACTTGATTACTATGCCGGCCTGAATTTTCAATTTTCAAATCCGTCCCATTCAAAGCTCGGCTGCAAATTGAATCATACTTAAATGCCAAATTCTCTGACGAATCAAACGGTCATTTTCGACACGATTCCTCCCCGTGAACGAATATCACATTTTCAACTTGTTCACCGACGAAGAGTGGCTGCTTTATCTCCGTGAAAACTTGTTTCCACGACCTGTGCACTGGTTAGATACACGAATACACGTGTACATATCTCGTTTCCGCTGCATCCACGCTTTTGGAATGATGCTGGCCGACGCGAATGCCAGCCCTTTAGCCACGTATCTGCGTTACATATCGTACCTCCATTATGCCGGAGTATTGTTCTGTTTGGCGATCGTTTGCCGGCACATCCATTAATCGGGAGAGTAATTTTTTTCAAAAAGAAAGAAAAAAAAAAAAAATACGAGCAGGAGCGTGTCCCAGACGATTAAACGCGCTCCTACTCTAATTTTCGCTTTGCGTATTTTGAAATATTGTGTTGTGTGAATTAAAAGGAACGTGAAAAGTATTCGTAGAAGTATTGTTTTGTTCATCAGTAAATAAGTTGATCGAGCGGGAAGTTGATGGATAATGTAAAATAAATTTTTTTCGAATGTGTTTGTAATATTTTTTGTGTCTCTTTTTTTTTTAATTTATTAAAATTTATTAATTTATATTAATTAATTAATTAATTAATTATTAATTTATACTCGAAAGCGTTAAATATTTTTACAAAAATGATCGAATTTTTGTAAAAAGATTATAATTATTTTCAAAAGATTAAAATAGAATAAATCTTAAGAGCAAATATTAATATTTCAACGAGATAAAAATAATATTATAAATTTTTCATTTTGAAAAGAATAGGATAAATATTTATCAATGTCGAATTCCATCAATCTCCTATCCACAATTTTGAGTAGTATCGTAGTAGTTTGCTCGAAAAGTGGACTCGATTACGCTTCATCTTCCGTTCATTCTCCTTTTCTGGTCGCTGGAGAAGCGGGTCTCGTGACCCTGTCAAGCATGAAAGTGATCCTAGAAAATCCACGTAGAGGGTAGCCAAGAAAAACCACGACCTCGATCATCGAGTGTCACTTCACAAACGCTCTGTTGGCATGGCCTGGATTTCACGTTTGAAAATCTATCGTTGAGACGTTGCACCCTTTCACATTGAGTTCATTATATTTGCCCATAATCGAGATTTATCATCTTATCTGTGGATATTTCGATTTCAGAAGCATGACAGCGATCTGTTTCGTGTGTAATCTACCGATCCTGAGTCACCAGGTCGGCCTGGTGTGGCAAGGTGGAAATGGATGGGATGATCTTATGCGGGAACAGGTAGAGGAATCCACCTTGAAACAACGTCTTGGTGAGTGTTTCAAATTTTTGTTTTATTCATTATTTCTATTGTTATTTCATATTTTTATCATACTTAATAAATCATTACTTAATCATAGTAAATAATAAATCATGTAATGAATCACTATTTATAGCAGAATATATAAATATTCGTTCAAATAATTACATCATTAAATAAAATTCGTTTCATGGCAATCTATTTACGAAATAGTCTCTGAAACATTAACGCAATTTCATATACAATTCCATTAATAAATGGACAAATTTCACTTCATATTTCATTTTGTCCCGTTCATAAAAAAAATTCCCAGAGGAAAAAATTAATTTTTCCATCTTTTAAACCCGACCACCGTATTACAACGTGAGGAAAACTTCATAATTAAATCTCACTCACACAAAAATTCGTCAAGGCATACATTACACCGCGATTCTTTCTTTTTTTTCCTCCGAAAATCGCTTTTCTCGTTCTCCATAAACTTTCCATAAACTTTTTCATAACAAAAACTAAGAATAAAAATTAAAATTATATAATAATAAAATAATTATACAAATTATATAAATATGATAATGATAAATATGGATTCAGGAACCGGAAGACGCGATTCGGCGACACAGATCACTTCCATATCCCCGCCAAACGAGCCGCAAGAACCTGCGACCAATCAACGTCGTCGACGATCGAGCTTGGCACAATTGACAGACATTTTGCGCGAATGGAGCGGGGGTGGCGGTGGAAAGAGCGAGCGAGGGAATAAACTATATCGTCGTGAAACATTGGGAGATATAGCGAAATCTTTTCCGTGGTCCAGACAAACGACCACGGATGCGAGCCATCTTGAGAGACTGCGCAAGAGGAGGGAGAGCTCGGTGGACAGTGGGATCAGAAGCCAGTCGTCCACGAAATCGAGAAAAGATTCAACGATCACCGAGCTGAAAAATGATTTTGCCAGATTATGGGGAAAGAAGGAGACGCCTCAGCCGCAACCACCCCCTACGGTTATTTCGCCCACCTATCGAGGTTGGTTGATGCAAATGTTGTTTCTTAATTATTTCGAATCTCATTATTATTTTTTCATGAATATTTCTGTTTGAAACACGATTGTTGATACAATATTTCATGAGCTTGATGATCTTTTAGATAGGTATATGTGGTCGAGTATATTTATGTAAAATTTGAATGTATAAAAATCTACAAAATAGATACAGAGAAACATAAACTGTTTCAAATGTAATGGTCGAAGAATGAAGCAATTTATTATTTAATAAATCCCATTTTTTTAATCATGTTTATAAATATATATCATTTATTTCTTTGTTTTATCACACTACTTGTCTATAATAATAATTGATTCCATTTGTTCAAACTACAACTATTCTCTCCCATTTTTCTCTTTTCCAATTTTAAAATATCTGATATTTCATTATCACCATAACTTATCACTTTTCATCACAAAATTTCTTCCAATCCTAATAGAACATATCCGACAAAAACATCCAACAAGCTTTGCTCGTTATTCAAATTACTCGAATATTTCCCAGGCTTCAGAGAGACCGATTCGAGAGGATCTCGACGCGGATCAGGGGAGAGTGGAAGGGCGAAAAATCAAGGGGAACGGAAGCATAATTGCCGTCACCACAGGCGCAGGCAATCGCAGCAATCGCAGCAATCAATGGACAGTGGTAGCGGCGTGATGCCCATGAAATATTACAGAAGCGATCAAAGACCGAGCGCTTCGAGCACGGATAGCGCGGCCAGCAATGCTGTCAGGTACATAACGACCCAACAATCGGATTCTCGTGGCTCTGATTTCGATTGTGACGCGTGTCTAGCCTTGTCTTTGAGCGGACCTCTGTTCCTCTATAAGGGAATTTAATTATCCTCCCTTGCCAGGTTTTCGTGCAATGATAAAGAAAACGATCGGCTTTGAACGCGAAGTTAATTTCGAGTCACTTTTAGGGGTTTAATTAACGATGGTTTGCTTTCGAATTATTTTGGGTAGAATCATCGATCGTACGTTATTATTTTATATATATATATATATATATGTATATATATATATATATATTACTTTTATTACGCGTTCGATACGTGAAAGAAATCACGTTAAAATAAAATTCATACGATGTGATATAATTATGGGGATGGATTAATAGCTTTTAATATCTTAAGCGAATATATCTGATCGTTGCAAAATTGATTAGTAATTGCGAGTGTGAGTAGTTGAAGATTATTAATTATAAACGTAAAATTATTAATCACTGATCATTAAGAGTAATCAAAAGTCACGATTAATTGGACGATTATTAATTATGAAATGATTATATTTTGATTATGATTGAATCGATAATTTATTCGAAGTGGTAATATTTTTTAATCAATGGATGGTCGAGAATATTTATATTTTCATTGTTGTTCAGACACGAAATATAATCTTCGATTATTATTGTTTTTTTGAAAACGATATCTAGGATAGGTTTTTTTTATCCGCATATAATTTAATTTTATCACCATAATGAATGTACATAAATAGTTCATTATATTTGCTTAATGATTATAAATTACAATCAGATGCAAGATTACTATGTAGATTACTTCCTACTATGATTAATCAATTCTTGATTATTGAATAATAATGTTAATTATTATCACAACATCATTAACATTATGATTACGTTCAATTTTGCATAAATTCGTCTTTATTCGTACAATGAAAATTTTTATTCCCATATGTATTATTTCAAAAAGCAACGTAATAATTAAAGAAATAACAAAAGTTTAAAATTTAATAATATAAAAATACATAAGCAAAACGATTAATGAAAAATTCCTATCACTGTATTTTCCATTAATCTGACTGATATAATTTTTTTATTTTTCAGAGAGCATTTGGAAGCGCGTAATTCCATGGACAAAGGCGAACGATCGAGTAGCATCGAGGGTAAAACATCCGTTACAACAAGTAGCGAATCAAAAACGTCCACCACGACTACCACCACAACTGTGTCGTCGACGACTACCGCGGTGACCACGTCGACCACAGTGACGATGGAGCCGAAGGCCGCGACCGTCGTCGACAGTAAAAATTTAACCCTCGAGTCGTCCATCACTACCCCTACCATCGTGATGTCATCAGTGACGCCACCAAGCGTCTCTCCAACGGTGGGTAGCAGCCTTCCACTTCCAGGAACCTCGACTTCCGGTAGCTCCAGTCCCGTTGGCTCGCCAAACGTCAACACACCGACCCACCCATTGATTAGCACTAGAAGAGACTCGACCACTCAGGTGAGATATATTGAAAGATTTTATTGGAGAGGGAATCGAGAAAGGATTTCAAGGATTAGTGTTAACTTAGTGTGATCGTTGATTGTGGAGTGATTGGAACTGGTGAAAAAAAGGATAGTAAAATGGTAGAAGTTTTATAATTAATTTGTGTAAAATTATTTAATATGAGTAATAAGTATCATTAACATATTAATTTCTTCGTCATTGTTTAATTATACAATTTGTGTCAGTAATTATGTCAGCGAGAAACTATTTTTATAGTTATATTAATTATAATTGGTAAGTTTAATCGATTTTTATCATGCAATTTGTTTATTATATAATTTAAATTGATGCAAATTAAAGTATTAATTATGTTATTTTATGTTATTTTCATTTTTAATCAAAATTATTAGCTTATAATTCTTTGTCTTGGTTATGGTATTGTCTTATACTCTCGTTTCAATAATTTTTCTAAATTTGAATAACTACGTTATGTATAAATATATCGTAATTGTAATATCATATTTGACATTTTTCGAAATCTCTCTCGTTATAATTATAGAAGAGACTTAAATAATTCAATTACATTATTAATTATATTATTATTATATTATATTATTATTAATAATAATACAAGTAGACACTGGAAACATTTTATCATTATCAATTCTGTTACAGTGTTATCAGAAGGGAAAGGAAGTATCACCGAACAAGTTGTCGAGATTGATACGACAATCGGCTGCCATAGATGAGTCGATGCCACCAGCACGGCGACGAGGAAGTCAGCCGACGTTGTCACCGGATACTGACGAAGGAGGTACAATCATTAACAATCTACCATTATCGACCATTTTCATCCTCGTTGCGAATAAAACTATTTTATGTAACATTAAATATAAATACATGTTATCTACTAACTATTTAGTCTTTTAACGTACACTACCTATATCTCTTTCTGCACGATGTGATCATTTAAAAAGAAAATAGAAAAACCATGAAACACGTCTCTCTTCTTTCTCCACTTCCTGTTGTCGATAACTTGCATTATTCTATCGTTCATAATTTTCTTCCTTACCTTCTTCTTTTTCTTTTCTTTTTTTCTTTCTTTTTCTATGTAAAATTGTCATATATTATTGAATTAATGACAGAAAGATATATTTTCGAAGGACGAAGAGCTCGAAAAGACTCGCTGAGCCCCGATTCCGCTTCGTACCCGCGGCGCCGTGATTCGAAGAGCCATCTGAGTCCAGAAAGAGCAGTCGATAAAAGAGACATCAGTCCTATCAGGGAGAGATCTCAGCTGACGCGACAGTCAATGTCGATGGCAGGACGGTCGCCACCAAGGTACCTGCATTTTATCGATCCTCGTGGAGTGGTAAACGGATGGTAACGCGACTCCATCGATAGAGGACAGATTAAGGGATTGAGAATAAAATTTCAACCCCTTTTTTATGGAAAACTTTGAAGATCTTCTGAAGATAAAAAATGATCGACTGCTTTGATATTCTGTTCCCTTTTTTATTTCGTTGTTTACTTTATCAGAACAATTGGGTTATTGTTAAAAGTATTTTTCTAAAAGTTTATTTCATATGAACGTGATTTATAGATGGATTTTTGATTTAAGATTTTGGAATTGATAAATTATTTTTGAATTATAAAATAATATAATGCAAAAAATTCCTTTTTTTATATATTTTATTTTTCTTCAGAGTTATTAATATACATTATAATTTCTTTATTGAAAAATATTGAACAGAAAATAGTTTTAACAAAATCATCTGTTTTTGATTTAGAAATTTTACTAATATAATTAAAAATTTTTGTTTTCTAGATCACCGGATAGTTCTTCTTGTTCGTCAAGGGATCCAAGTCCATGTGCTCGTGCTCCAGGGACTATACCTCATGCTCCTATAGGAAGAAGACAATCGACCACGGACGAGATATTTATTGCTCGTGGATTTAGACGACAGAGCACCACGGAAGAGACAATAAGATGTCGAAATTTTCGAAGACAAAGTTCTCAAAGTGAAAAACTGGTCCGTTTTTTCTTTTTTTAATTTTTATATTTTAATTTAACGAAGCACTTTAATTTAAAAAATTTTAATTTAAAAAAGCAAAATGACAATTTTCGTTTAAAAATTCAAGAAAATATTTCGAATTATTTTGGATAGTTACTTTTTTCAATACATTTTTTTTTCTTTTTGGTGTGCATTAGGTTCAGAGATATCAAGGACGAAGAGACAGTTCCACACAAATCACCGATGGAACATTCGCTACCATGTCTGTCGAGATATCGAACACGTTTTTCGATAGCAGCACTCAGACTGGTAAGTGATAAATTTCATTCATCATTTATCATAGACGAGACATTTCAAAGAAGGAATTTTTTCCAAAGATATTGCTAAATTTATCTTTCTAAGAATTTTATTTTTTTAAACAAAAAGAATAAATTATTAATTATATACACGAGGATCATATTTTTACGTAAATCTTATCAAAAAGTAAAATACACAATCTCTTTGTCTTAAATTCCTTCTAAATTTCCTATCTCTCATTGTAAGTATAATATTATCTCATTGTACAATCACAGACAATCATTCTTCCATAGACATAAGATTTTTTTATTACGTATGTCGATCCTCCTTTGTCAATTGATCCAAATATCTCTTCATTCTTCGATACTTTCATCAATCAATTTTTCGAAATAACTTCAACCCAATCTATCCAAAATCTAAATCTACTACAAAAAGACATTCATTCGACTCACCTTTGATCACTATCTCCCAAAAACACAGTAAAACGAACCTAATTCGAGAGATCAATTAAACCCCCTCCTCCACAAATTCCAATCGAATTTCGCGGCCAGTGGATATCTCTCGACCATAATCGAATCGAACGACGGCATGCGCCCTGGCAACGGCTTTCGCCGTGGCCAGCCGGCTTCGCGACGCCGTGCAGCGTCTCCGTGAACGCAGGCGTGGTGTCAGCTCCCCTAGTTCCGACAATGTGACACTGGGTGCATGGCAGTCGATAGCCAGCCGAAGAGGACAACCAGCCTCGATGAGCTGCTAACTCTGAACGTGTGCGTGCTCTTTTCAAAACCCCTTCGTACATCGTTGCACGTCCATCGTATCCTCGACAGCGAGACGACGAGAATATCCTCCCTCCCCCTCAAACAGAAATATCAACAGCAATGCGACTAGAATCGTGGAATCGTGGAATCGTGAAGTGAACTCGGGTGATCGTGGATCCGATTGTTGCCCTGATCGACGATCGAACAATAGCACACATACACACACACATACATACACACATACTCTCCATACTATCTGAGACATCGATTCTCAGATATCTGACGAATATCAAGAGGATCGACCAAGACTCGAATCCGAGAAAAACAAAGTGTTTCCATTAGGAGGTATCTCGTGTTGACAAACCAAAGTCCTCTTATCGACGATCACCTGTTTGTGTTTACTCGAACGACGAGTTTATTCAGCGTGCAGTTAGTTCGTAATAATTTGAATCCAATTGTTTCGCTTGCTTGAGAGAGGAGGGTTCGATTTTTCACGATTGGAACGATGGGTGGTGCCCTTCGAACGGTGATCGAAGGATCGATCGATCCTTGATAAACGTTCCCGTGTACATAAAAATCCGTCGATCCCTCGCCCTTAGAATCGCCGCATTTGACCCTGAGTGTCTGACAGGGCACCAACCACTTGTGGCGGTGTGGCGGTGCGGCGGATATTAGTTGAAAGCCGGCCAGACACACTTGTGTGCGTGAACCAGCAGATTTCTTTTGGATATCGTTTGTTCGAGGGGTGATCTCTGTGATCTTGGACTGGGTGAATCCAATTGAATCTTCGATGATCAGAGATTTTTGTTTCGATCGGTGGTGCGCGCTCGTTAGCTCGAGGATGTTCGTTGGTGGTGTATTCGTGTGACATGTGACACGGAGGTGTGCGACGAGTGTGATGGGAAAAAGGACTCGTCGCCACGACGAAGGATTCCAGCGACGGGATGACGTTGCCGCCTCTCGACGTGCTCACGCTTTCTCGGAGGTAGGATCTCTGATTGTGCGCCACTTCCAGATGTTATTTTTTTTTTTATCTTTATTCTTTTATATTTTGCATTTCGTATTTTGTATATCTGGCTTTTGAACATTCTAATTGTTTCGAAGTTGGAGCAAAAGTTAGGATGATTTTGAAGGAAACAATATATCTGTTATAATTTGCAGAATGATTTTGCATATATGCAAAAATATGTATGGGACGTATAACGATTCGAAGTAGAATGGTAATTCTACTATTTGATATATTGGAGTAACACGTGTCTGGATAGATTTAATTCCTTCATGAATATTTGTTGTCTACTTATAATGTTGGGTTATGATGAAAAACAAATTGAATATTCAGTTTCGAATCGAAATTTGAAGAATTATTATTTTATTGAGCAATACGTTTCTGTATGTGCGAGAAAAGTTTGTTTCGTGTAAAATTTTTGAGGGGGAATATTTTTTAGATTTGTAAAAAAATAGATGGGATATTTATGTCAGGTTGTAAAATACGTGTATGCGTTTTGCATGGCCATTGAACGGAGGCGAATATTTTCGTTCATTTTCTCTTTCTATTTTTTCTTTTCGAATTTTTTTTAAGAATATTATACAGGGATAATATAGAGATATAGTGTGTAATACGTACTTCGAAGTTATAGATAGGTAAGTTATAAAAACTGGCAGAAGTTAAAAGATCTGAAAGAAAGTTACGACTTGACATTTTGTACGATAGGAAAAGTATATATAATGTATTAAAAATATTTACAATTTGAAGTATCATAAAATCGTCATAAAATATCGAATTTATTGATACTTTGTTAAAAATATTAAGGATTCTATAACTTTTGAATAAGAATATAACTATTACAATAATTATTGTATGTGTTTCTATCTCTGTCGATATAAGGAATATCTTTTTATTCGAATTATCAGAAAATATTGAAAGATCAAGAACTGGTAGATAACAATGAGAGATATTAGTACGTTTATAAACTGTTACAATGCTTTTCTTTTTGAATTTGCGAAAATGTAGATTGAATATTTATATCGATAAAGTGTGCAGGAAAAATGTGCTACCATTAGAAAGTGATGTACTTTTATAGAGCATCATCTTCATACTACATTTTTTTCCTTTTTCTATTCTTTTTCTCTCTTTCAATTTTTAGAGGTTGAAGTTGAATATTTATGCCGGTAAAAGCAGGGGAGAAATGCATTTTATATTGTTATCATAAGAACGAGGATCCTTATTTGCGATTTTTTTATTTCTATTCCTTTTATTAGGTATCAGAAAAATACGAAAGGAACTGATATTTTTATACAATTTTGTATCTTTATATTATCTCTTTTTTTTTAGATTTCTCTATTTCTTTTCATTTGTTTAGAATAATCATATTATGTTACAATAATTATGATAAAAATATTGACAGAAATTTTTATTCTTTCTTTCAATATTTGTAGAGAAACATATTTCTTTTGCAATTTTTTCGTAAAGAAGATTCGAGGATTGTTTCATCGAGATTAAATATATTATTTATCATTTAATTATATTGTTTAACACGTATATGAAAAGATTAACTACAATGTAAAATTATACTTTTATTGCTCTATTCCACCATTTCATTTTTCGTAATTCCTTCATTTCTATTTTTCTCTGTTTCCTCTTGAATTACTTTCTCTTAAATTCCTCCTTAAATTCCACGTGTAGGTTGAATATTTATGTCGATCGTAAAGACTGAAGGAGAAATGCATTTTCGCGTAGCCCTTAAAACACCGACGATTATTCTCACAGAACGTCATCTTATTCCTCCATTTCTATTTCCTTCTTTTCCCTCTTATTTTTTTCAAATTATTTCTCTCGGATTTGCAGATATGTAGATTGAAAATTTATATCGATGGTAAATCGGTTTTCTCAAAACAGCCATAATTATTGCCAACAGAACTTCATCTTCTTATTCAATCCTCTTCTTATTCGACTTTCTATTTCTCCATTTTCTATTTTACTTTTTCCTCTTTTTTTTTCAAATTAAAAGAAATCTATATAAATATATATATCATATCAGACTAATAGTAGAATATATAATATTTTTTTTTATTATATATAGTTCATTTAGAAAAAAAATCTCGTCACTATTTTCCAATTAAAATTTTACTGTTAAAATATTTTTACATATTAAAATATTTTTTAACGATAATATGTAAAAATTTTACATATTAAAATATTTTTTAACGATCAATTGTTAAAAAATATAATATTTTTCTTTTTTGAGATATATTTTACCAAATTTGTTTTCATTTATTTTAATTTTATTCTCGGTTTTATATAATTTAAAGTAGTAAATTAGTTTACACGAATATATCTAAAATATTTCAATGTCCTTACAATTGGTAAAATATGTCAAAATTTTCAATAGAAAAATACACGATATGGAAACATCTTTGAAGAAAACAAATTTAGGATCGTGAAATTTTTTACACTTTAAAATAATCGGCAATTTTTCATCTCAGTATTGGTTCACTTGTGCTCTTTATTGTATATCGATGGCGAAGCACGTTCCGTGCCAGTTGTTAAAAAAGCGACGCGTATTTTCGATTTTTTCACGATTAGTGAAGGGTATAAACGGTGCTCGTTAAAACGCTTTCATTGTTCAATCGTATTTCGAAACGCATACAATAATTGGAAAACGAACACGCGATATTTCATGGATATTTCGTAATCTGTGTTGACGGCTACAATCTTGAGGATCTCGTGATCTTTCTCGCTTACTTACGGTCGGAGCTTTGATTAAATTCGAAGGGATCTCTAATTGAGAATTACGGGATTCGTTCCTGACCAGGTTTTAATCTCGCGCCACGGGAACGTCGTTTAACCAGAGATTGTGGTAAAAAAAATTATGTGATTCCATATTGGCCTTGGAGCAGGTTTATTGAAAATAAACACGATTTTTTTTTATCTTGGATTTATTTTCTTATTTCACTTTCTTTTCTTTTTTTTTTTTTTCTATTTGTGAAATTATTGATTTGTTTTAATTTTGGATTTATTTTCTTACCTTTCCTCTTTTCTTATTTTTGAAATTTAAATGTTATCAAGGATATTAAAGAAAGATTTTTCTAAAGGATCTTTCTTTATTTTTTTTTTTAAATTAAAGTTTATATTAATTTTTCAACTAAGATTGCAGTTTATATATTGTTGTTTGTAATTATTTTTCAACTATTTTTTTTATTCGAAGTAATTTTAATAAATAGAATTATTCATTTTTTGTATATTATTATTATCAT